GAGTAGTCTTTGAAAATGTCGTGTACTTCTAATGCAGATAATGAGCAATTAGAGGGTAGGTTTGGGACTGTCTCTAAGGCAGACCACAGATAACAATTTTGAGGACTGGTTCATCTAATAACTCACGATAGATAAAAATATCTACTGATTAGATAATATTATTTACTGTAGACAACACTATCTACTTAAGCAAAATATTACATAAAAGATAAAAAAAAAGGACTGCAAGTACTCTGAACACTTGGCACCTCAGATTTCGGAAAATGAGAAGTCCTCAGTTATTTGCCATTGTTAACTGATTAAAGACATGTTGTTCAGGAAATGCCACACCTGGAAATGATTTCACATTTAATGACAAATCTCTTGGAGGTGTGCTTGGATATCGATTGTTATGGTCACCAGCTGCTTTTTAATGCTGAGCCTCTTTTATCTGTATGAAAAACTGCCTTGATTTAATTCTCTAGATCTCTGAGACAGATTTTGAAATACACTACCTTTCTCATATGACTTTGTTACGATTTAAGAAGCAATTCAATTTAGTCCTGCTTTAAACAATGCCTAAAGTTAACAGGAAGAGCAAGACATTCCAGTATAGTCTTAGTCACTTTTTGAAGTGAAACAGATTCAGTTTATTAAAAACAGAACCATCTATTCAATAAGAACCAAGAGTCATAAAAGTGTATCAGTAGCGAAATGCTTCACAGGTAGTAGTACTGTCTGACCATCAGGCATTTGTAGCAACATCAGATGCTCCACATAAGACTTTTTCACTTTAAATAATGTAGCTTTTGCCAAATCCCCTCTCACATGTAACCTGTATAAATCTAAACAGCTTTGCAATGTAATTACAGCAGTGTAACGGAGGGTGATTTAGCTTAATCAGTACTATCCACAGAAAACAAATATCAAGAAAACCATTTAACTTTTCCTTCCAAAATAAATGACTCAATAAACCTTTGAATTACTGCACACTAAGTGATGAAACTTATTTGTCTGTAACTTTAATCTTCTCCTTGGGAAGCTGAAATAAACTGTACTCGAAGATTCTTAATTATTCTTCACACATAAATCACATGTATATATTGCATTCTCCTTTTGAATAATTTAGGCATTTTAATTGGAAGCAAAATGACTCAGCCAGTCATAGGTTCAGCTACAGTTTCACTAACAACTCTCTTCTGCAGAACCTTAACAGGCCTGACTGTCTTTATTTTAGCTGTGAGGAAGAGAGATACTTCTGAAATGAGGGTTGCCTTAAAATCATTGTGCACACCTCTTTCTGCTGCAAGTGAGGTTTATGGATGTTTTAGCCAGCCTTTTAGACAGAGTCCCTAGAATGAAATCAGCATCCTGGAGATTAAATTCAATCCATTTGAAATAGGAATTACTCTAAGATCTGTGCTATCAAAGTTTAAAATTCTCTTTCTTGCAATCAGATGTGTACCGTATCTACCTCTCTCTCTCTCTCTCTCCCCCTGACTTTCCTCTTTAATTTGTCTAGAAGAAACAGATGTATTTTTTTAAAAAATACATTTTCTATTGGAAATTAAAACAAAAACAAGTAAGATCTGCAGCAGCACCTGCAGCACAGTGCCACTAGAGGAACTGACTACCTTGCTTTAGTATGTCAATGAGCCAATTTTCTTTTTGGAAAAAGATTGATTTTCCTTAGGCCTTAGGATGCGTAGACAACTAGACATCTATTTTGTATAACCATGTAATTGAGCAGTTAAGAAATAAAAAGCTTCACGAAGATGGATATTACTAAAGAAGGCTTAGACAAACCTGCTTTTCATTGCCTGCTGTAAACTATAATAAGTTGGCCCTAGATATGTGGATACATTAGATGCTGTCAGGCTGGCCTCACACTCAAGACAAAAACAAGCTAGTTAATACAACGTTTTCCAATTGTTCTGATTAATTACATGTCCTTCTTAGAGGTCTCCCCATAACAGCAATACAGCATTCTTGGCAGTTCATTGCAGTGTTTGGGTGGTTCCAGTCATCTGACCTCCACCACGACTCAAAGTTTCCTATTATTTTTCACAGACACACAGCCCATTGTGTCTGTGTTTTGTTGCTCAAGCATATATATCTTTTGAGAAACTGTTCAGAAAGGTTAAGCCAAAATCAGTCAAGTAAAAGCCATAATTAACCTTAGAAACTGCTGAATCAAGAGCCTCAAAGCTTCTTGAAATCTGCAGCAGTGAAGGTTATTCCGTATAGTGGGAGGTAGCTACTGCCTGCAGCCATGGCATTTCCTTTCACTGAAATATTCCCTGCTATGTGCAAGTGTGGGATGAAAAGAGAAGCGTTTCCAATTAAAAAAGAAAAAAAGCATGACGCACATCCATATTGCCTTTTGCCCACACGTTTTATGAACATTTGAGAAGTCTCACAGCATACTGAGGAACAAAAAGGTTAAGAGCTCTTAAGAGAAATGACTTCTGGCAGGGGGCTCACCATTTCAGGTGGGGAAGCTGGGCTCCAGAACACGCCAGGGCTCCGAACGGGGGTTTCAGAAGTGCTCAAATACCGAATAACAAAAGTTGTCATGTCCCCCTGAGTCAAAGCTCTTTCCCAATTTGTCCCTTGCCCCAGGATGGATGCAAGCAGCTAGTGATTATTAAATAAATATCACTGTTACTCTGTTAACTGGTGGTCTACTGATTGCCAGAGCAGGAACCAAGATCTCACCTATTTCTTATTTCTCTTGTCTTGAAAAGGGAGTAGGCAGACACACAACCCCACTTATTTGTATAAACTGATCCAAGAAGCTTATTCAGGAGTCTAAGGGATTTCTGGTTCCATCTTACTCTCTTGTCTAGGAAGGCAAACCAAATACCGACTTAGACTAAGTACTAAGTAACCAAGTACTAAGTCAGTCAAATACTCCTATGCATAATTTAGGTCACATAAGTCAGTAGCAGAGCATGAACTAAAACTCAAAGACACTGACACTGACAGATCCCTGCTCTAGCCATATAAGCACAATTCTCTTCTACTCCAGCCATACTTTCTCATCTAAGTTACCTCCAGGATCTTTTCTTACTTCCTAGTTCTCTTCAGTGCTTTTTTTTTTTCATCAAGTGAACATCTTGATGGATGGAGAATAAAATCAGTGCATGCAGTGTCAGGACCGTAGCAATAACATAAGTAACGTTTCTTGCTCTCTCCTTTTGACTATCTCTATTTAGACTGAGAAAGCAAACACATTTAGGGACTCAGTAAGATTAGCTTTCTAAATACCTTGTGATCCTGCTTTAAAAGCAGTTCTTTCTTCTCTCCATCAGCACGAGACTTTTCTTCTCACCCTCTCCCAGGGCAACCCCTACTGTAGACTGGAAAACTAACATTTTAAAGGATATACTTTTCATATATCCTCTAGATGTGTGCCAGCCCTCAGTGTCACTACTTCATGCTTGCATGGCTCACATCCTATGTTAGTGACTTGGGGTTGGCATGAGGGGAAACGACAGGAGGAGCAGAAAAGGCTCATGCCGTTTTGCTGGTCAGGGACTATTAGAAGCAGCACAGTACAGAATAAGCAGGCTTATGACAGGAGCTGAGAATTGAAATTCTGCTCTGCCAACCACATGCACCTCACCTGTGTGTACAGCAACCTCCCCAGCCAAAGCTGCAGCAGCAGAGTTAACATCCCATTAAAATGCCCCAGCAAAAATGCTGTTATGAAAGAATTCTTGCAGAGCAATATTGTCAGTGGGGCCTACCTAGTACCCTAAAACATCATCACAGATAAAAGACATTGTCTCTAAAAAGAAAAAAACAAAGAATGCTTGCAAATGAACAATTACTGTGTTTAACAGTTAGCTACTCTTCTCTGTTGCCAGATAACTTCAATTATCCCAATCAAATGCACCCTGCCGACCTTCTGCAGCTCTCTCAACTTCACAAATAACAGAGTCGATGAGAAGAGCCTAGGAAATGGATCTTCCTTTGACCAGAAAGTGTGGTGGATTTTTTGTGATTTTGAGATCCAAAAGGGTTAGTGTGAGAATGGAGAAACTCCTTATTTTTCTGTACTGCTTGTATGGTGAAAGTGGTAACAAGGCAGCTCTGTCAAGGGTTTGTTCACAGAAAAGAAGGTTTTATACTCTATGCTGTTCTATTTTTCTTTCAAACTGTAATGAGGACATCCTCTTGACAGGTTTGAAGTAAATCCAGAATCAAGGGATCAACAAAGGGGGAAGGAAGAAGCTGTAGAGATCAGAACCACAGAGATTCTGGATTGGGGAAAAAACAGTCCAGGAAAGAGAAAGAGTAAAAGCAGAGGTAGAGGCTGGACAGAGCTTGTACAACCAGGAAATGTAGAAGGACATTTGAGGGGGAGGAGAGAAGAACTGAATGAAGAACTTAAGGACAGGAGGGACACAACAGTGTCAAGGAAAACCACGGAAAAAGATTTGCTTGCTCTTGCTTTCTGTATAAGAAGATCTTCGGGGAAAACTTTCTTCTTCGCTGTTCAGACCAGAGACAGGTCTGCTGTGCTCTTCTTATAATGTGGCACCAACTTTATCCAGTGTATTTAAGAGCAGAAGAAACCATACAGTTCAGCACCAGAACGAACATCCATTTATGAACCAAGTGAATAGAAAAAAATGGTTTATGAAAAATAAAGAATATTACCCTATCAAATAGCATATGAAATCATTTACAGATCTCTAATATAATTCTACTATCAGAGGAATGTTATTCCTACAGTACAAATTCAGTAGTAAACAGTATGTGATGCGGGATTACCATGGAAACCACTGTTTTATTTAACAGAAGACTATACAACTGTTTTTCCTGCACTGAAGGCTGCTATTCCATTGAACTGTTACTGCATGGAGACTCTCATATTCTTTCCTTTCCAAATAGATTTCTCCTCCTGAACAGACAACTATAGTATATCAGCTATCTGTCATTTAGACAAATGCTATTCCAAATGAGTTAACCATTTGAACGTTTAGGAAAATTGATTTAATTATAACGGCCATTCAATTCTGGGGTGAAGAAAGAAAAGGAATTTTTCACAACAGGAAAATCTATAGGAACACACTGATATGCAAGACTTTGCAGTGACTTCTTGCAAAGAAAATACTGAGCAAAACTCTCACGGGATACTTTCTGTAGGCCATGTAGCATGTTTTAAATCACTACTGCATAGTGTTTACCAGCAGTAGAAGATGCTATAGATGAAATTTATCTCTACTAACAGAAGACATTTACAAGGTAGACATCTATAACTCAGCAAGTAACCCAGATTCCCCTTATAGTTCATAGAAGAGAAACAAAAATTTCATCACATCTTACACGAGACTTCTAGAATAGGTGAGATGTATGGCACCTTTTAAGCCTAATTCTCACAGAAAAGACACTGTTGTCTCCCACCAGCTTTAGTACATGTCTTAAATCCAACAGAAGTGTGCACTCAGGATGCCTCCGTTGGTTAAAGAGCACTCAGTACACCAACAATCTAACATTGTTACATCTAACATAACAGCTTGTAAAGCTTTTCAGAATTGTTCTGCCACATAGGTTGCTGATTTATGCTCCACGCATATGCTCCTGATGCCACCCCTCTCCTCAGAAGTTAGCAGGTAGCCTTATGAGATTAGTTCATTCATGTATCTCCTAGAGTAACAAGCCTGTAAAAAGATTTACACATGCATTTCTAAAATACACACAAAACTACTTTCCTGAAGAAAATCTCTAGACACCATTGAAATCAATGGAGCTATCTTGGTTCACATCACCTGATGAGTTGATTCTTTATTTCTGTTATGGCACTACCCATACACTTCTGACGATGAACCTAGGACGAATTCCTACCTAGCACCAATGTCACAGCATGTAAATGGCCCCTTCTCCTTCCTTCCTACCTCTCCCAACTGCCACAGCCACTGTTACTAAGCACCAAGGGACTACAGGAGGCTGCAAGAGGTGAGGTGGCACCTGTATACTGAAGAGAGCACTGGAGAGATGCTGGCATGAGGCAGAAAGAAGGCTCACCACTTATGGTCTAAAGCACAAGCAAGCAATCTGCATTGTGTTTGACCAAAAGGGGAAAAAAAAATGACATAATGGAGAAATTTCCTGAGGCTACTACTTTCCTTGATTATTTAGGAGTTAAGAGTTTATTGATGAAAGTGTTGCATCTTTAACGAAAACATTATTCGTAGGTCATCTTTGAAAAAGCTGCTGAAATCAAAAGGTCTCCTGAAGAATGCATGGCAGAAGGAAAGAAGAGAGATGATTAATTACTGTCCTAACAGGAAGAACTATGCTGCAGAAGATATGTGACACTTTTAAACCTATGAAGGAGAAGATAATAAGTCAAATACCACAGCTGTAGAAAATAAGAATTCACAGTGGAGTGGAAAATTGCAGTCATCTCACAATTATTAGTGCTGGATTACGGCATAGAATAGTTGATGAAATAGATTTTTCCAGTGGTAAGAAATACATCTTGTGATAATGAAAACATGGAGTTTAAAGATTATCATTAACCATATAATAGCTTTACATGAGAGAATCACTGTGTACTTCTGAATGTGAACATCAGCCTCATCAATTTAGGATTTATTTTCCACTTTTAAAAAACCTATGAATGCAAATATACTGGAGGGTGGAGGTTGATATTGGCTTTTATAACACTTTACTCAAGGTTGTATTGACGTTACCATTCTCCAGCTTTATCCTCCAAGGGCATGCACCTCAGTAGCATTTCAAAGCCTGCAAGTTTTGCACAGTGTGCAGTACAAGACTCATTCACCTTCAACCAGCAAAAGTCCAACTTTGCAGAAAATAATTTCTGTTATCTCCTCCTAAGCACCCAACATACACAGCTAAGTCTGTTCTTACTCAGCACACATATTTACTTTTGCAAGGTTGAGCCAGACTGTGAAACCGTTTCCTTTACCTGGTTGCAAACATTGCTCGCAAGGATGAGAAGGTTGCTGCATCTTCCTTCAAAGCCTTGAGTTCATTTCGTAGTTTGGTCATGGTTTCAGTCACCATTGCTTTTTCATTTTCGTACTTATTCTTCAAATTGGCTAATGCCACTTCAGCTGTCTGAAAACACAGACAAGGATATTATGCTTATGAGTCAGATATTTGATAACAGCCAAGACACCATGTTTCACTTTATTTCTGATTTCCTTCTTCACTCACACAGTAAAGAATATTAGACCTGAGCTCCATTGCACTGTCCCCTGACATGACTTCTTTTAAATTATACTCCACAAAGCCAGGAAAAGGAGAAAGCAGTTGAAAGAATAAAGCCAATTTCAATACACTGGGCAAACCTTAAATCTCTCTGCAAAACAGTGCAGCTATACACTGAGGGCTCAGCCATGTGAGCAAGTTACTACCACTTAAGGAGTTATTCCCTATCATTTGAACTGCAGCAACTAACCAGGCGTGTACTCTTAACCCATTGCAAACAGGACACGCAGCACGTTAGAGTCAGCATCTGTAGCTGAGCGTGTACTAACGTGTTTTCTCTTGTGCTTTCTACCAGCTGAGAATCCCCTTACCTTTGGTTACTGAAGCCGACCTTGTGTAAGGTAACTGCTAGGACCTGATACCTTGCTTTTGTGTCTGAGCACTGGGAATACTTACTGTTGTGCAAAATTACATTATTTTGTCAGTTTTAACCACTACAACAAAAAGAAAAAAAATTGTGTAAATTACAATTTTCACTTAAAAGAAAAGCAAGGAATTGTAGTCATCCTATTCCTTGATTTTTCTGCTTCATTCTTTTTTCTATTTCCTCCATTACATTGCTTTAATTTCCTGCCCTACCGCTTATAAAATTGTTAAGTATGTCTTACTTTTGGAAATGAAAAGAATTGAATCTTGTCAGTTTTATTTATGAAGTGCAGCATCATCATTTTCGAGTTATTCAAAATACATATTTTTATAGAGGCTTTATACCTACTACTGCTATGAGACTTATTTAAAATTATTACCATTGAAAGGCATTAAGAAGAAGTATTTCCTTTTACTTTTTCTCAGGGGGGCTTTACTGTTGTTTTTTCACTTCGTTTACTGCATAGTAAGGTGCAGCATTTCATATAGACAGTCAACTTCCTCTGTTGATCTGGTGCATTCTTGAGCCATCCGTAAGGGAGAGAATTGTGGAAAAACATGATCTTAAGGCGACCAGTAAGGGAACATGGCAAAAGACAGTAATGGCCAAACAGCTGGAAATCGATTTCAAACTCAGTTTTCTGAAACTCACTAGATTTCACACTAACAGTATCTCTTAAGGAAAAGACATACTAACATCGCCTGCTAAAATACATTTGTGTCTGGTGAAACAGTACAGTAAAAAATTGCAGTACTAAAATAAATTATATCAAAATTGTCCTCAATTGTAAACCCATCAGTAATGTTTTTCCTACTTTCACACTATTTTACATAGAGAGAAGAGATTTTATAAAATCACTACTAACTATCTGTAATTTTAAATAGATAGTTTTCTATGTCAAATTTGAAATAATCAGCAACACACAGTAAAAAAGCACTTAGGGATATATTCAAATAAAAGCAGCTTTTATCTTTCTTAATGGCATATGCCTTGGTATAATGTAGGATGGGAAACACCATCCTACGCTTTGGCAGGATGAAGCAGAAATCATAAGCTTGCTACCTATTTCCAGGCACAAGCCAAAGCGTACGCTCATAAATTAACATGGAGAAAAGGGATAGACTAGACTCCATAGCTCCGGCTAAATTCTGCTTTAGCCCTAAAACAGTAATTCAGATGTCTTTGTTTTGTAAGAAAAATATAGCCTACAGTCCTTACACTTATCATGCTTAGTTTTTGAACATTTGAATATTTTTCTTACAAAACAAAGACATCTGAATTCATGTGAAGATTTTCCTTGGTTCAGGCATCAAAATGAGTTAAATACATATACTACCTAATTCTAGATTAAAAAAAAAAAAAGTTTGATTGTTTCAGCAGTGGGGTTACACATTCCTTGTAAACCCAATAATTTTACACACGTCATTAAAATTGCGTGCCAGGATTAGACAGAAACAGATAACGGTGTTTCCTTTTCATCCTGCCCCTCCAGTTATTCTGCAGAACTGGAATTCTTTCCCTGTCTCAACAAGGAGTGAATGGCACAATATCCTGTTCTGGAGAATTTCATGAAGTGCATCTCCTTTGCAGAAAGTCGTCTTCGTGTTCTGGCTGGGTAGGCTGATTGAGCAAAACAAGCTATCAGCGATTCGTATGAACTGACCTGTTTGCACGGGCTGCTTTGCACTACCAGAGAAGAGTGCTGGAAAGTCTGAGCAACAGATTAACAACTTGGCAATGTTTTATCACTGCCTTTTTTTCTAAAGAATGAATAAAAACATGATCTTGGTATTCTGAAGTAAGAAAGGATGAAATTAATTCATTACCCTCCACTCTCAAGTAAGATATTTTCTTACTTGTGCTTATGTTTTCTATGAGGCTTTGAGCACTGCAACTTCAAGCACAGGTGTTCACTTAAAATGTGCAGATTTTTCTTCAGACTTACGATTAATAAGAAACGAGAGCTAGCTATGTCCATCTCCTCTCAGTGAGCACTGGAGTGAGTTTCACTCACTGCAGTTAAATGCCTTCCCTCTAAGGAACAGACCGCCAGGCTTACAGAACAGTTGCAAAACTGCTGGCTCTTCTGGCATGATTTCCCAAGGATCGCCTTCTTTATGCACCTAGCAATAGCAAAGCAAGTCGCAGCAGATCTGCTTCGCTAGGATTCTGCAGTTATGTCTTGAACTGTCTCACCATTGCCAAATCAGAAATCAGGCTGAATTTCACCAAGCAAAGTGATCCATACATTTTAGCCTCAATGCCAACGTAAGTTTATAAATGGGGCTTGAAATGCTGCAGGATGAAAAACAACTTATAAATGTAATTTAGGCAACAAATAAAGGTAACATCTCCAGAGTTCCCAACTAACAAAAAGGAATAACTGTGTCAAATCTTCAAGCCTTTTTTACTTCCTGTTTTAGTTTTCTATAAAACAACATGTAGAAAATAAAGCACAAGTTTGAAAACCTACTGGTAGTGCCTGGTAGCCAGGAAGAGCCTGGTAGACTCACCTAACAAGCTTTCCAGCATGCTCGTTTGCAGGCTGTTAAGGGTCTCCCTTTTGAGGGTCTCCTAAGTGAAGAATGATTGGGCACAAGTGCTCTACCAGGAAAGCAAATAAAACTAGGAAACATATATATTTAATATGCAAGACAGAGAAGAGGGAAGAAAGCCAGGGGAACTTCTATCAGGAATCCACAGACATAGAGTAAAGGCCACCACAGCAGAAGTGCACAGCTTTAACTCGAGGCTCAGTATGTTCAATACGTTCGTGTAAGAGCTGGCGGGTGCCAGACTATGCGGTCGCTCAAGTTACCCAGCGTATATCATTTTATGACCTAAATGCTGATTGCAGCAGATTCCTATCAGACTCCTTGGCTCTGAGGATGCCATTTTACAACGCAGCTAAATCAATCTATATTGGCTAGCTGCCACCAAAACAATAACTGCCCAGCCCTTCCCCATCTCTACCCTTTGTATCCTGCACGGTACTCCTCTAAGCTTACAGTGAGCTGGGCTGGGGAGCTGAACTGGCAGAAAACTAGCCTGAAGCATCCTGGAGAGGGGATGTGTGATGAGGAGCAAGGCTCAGGGGAGAAGGGGACACTGGATTGCCTCCTTCAGTGGTCTGGTCACCTTCACTGTTGCCCAGAGGGACATACTTAAAGGATAAAATGAATCAAAGGCATAGCTCTTCCTGCAGCAGCAGCTCCGGTTTAAATTATTCATATTTGTTCCCCTCTGACCTCCAAAATTGGACCCATCGAACCATTTGTGTGGTTGTGTCCTAAAGCAGTTCTGGGGAATAACCTAGCTTTTAAAAACTTCCTTTTCCCTCTTAAAATAAGTGTTTGTTTTATCCAAGTAATTTCAGAGAGCTGGTTTACAGTACAGTCACACCAACTATTTAAATTTTTTACAGCTTTTTCTGAAGCATTAAGCTGTGGTCAACTACAAAACTGGATCAGAGAAACGAGAGAACATTGCTCCAAATAAAAATGCAGCCTCTGAGCAATAGGCACGGCAATGGAGAATACAAGGAAAAGAGGAAAATACATAAAAGTGTGTGAATACTCTGCAGAGAGGTAAATAATGGAATAGGTCAGGAGATGGGGTAATTACATCCCTGACAGAAGACCTGGTCATGCCAAAGAAGTGGAAAAACAAACTGCACAGTGGCTCACTGAAATGCCTGGAGACATAGAATTCATCACTCACAGCGCAGTTAGCATTTACTGTGCAACGGAAGTCTCCAAGACTTGGACTTCTGAAGAGCATGAACTGCTAGAGAAGAGGAGAGAGCCGAGGTGCACAGTGCTCAGCACCTCTGCTGCCCAAACGCCGCCAAAGAGGACCAAACAGACTGCCAGAACTAATGATGCTCTCCACCATCATCCTCTTATCCTTGCAGAAGAGATGAGTGACCAAACTCAGCACCTTAAGGGTTGCCACCTTAATTCCGAAACCCATGAATAAACCTCATCTCCTTTACGGAGACTTCACATTCTAAGATAACTTTGCATCTCATTTACTTTGCATTAACAGCGTGAGAAGCAGACCAAGTAGAATTTAGTTGCTAGAAAAAGATGAAATCCTACAATGGTAAGTGCTTCAATTTTGCGCACAACAAAAGGAGAATAGTAGCCTGTTACTTTCATGCAGGTGTAAGTGATACTGAATCTTTCTACTCAACCTCACTTTCAAAGTACAAACTCTGCTGCTTTGTGTAACATCAGGCTTTTTGTTCATAGATCAGGTACGGCTGAAGTTCTCAAGTGATTTCCCTGAAGATTTTTACGGGTATCTCAGATGTGGAAGCTGAAGACACCATAGTGGTGCCAATACAGGTGTGACAGTCGTGCTGACTGGACTCCTTCCCACAAACTATTTACCTAGGAGAACAACGGGCTGTTTTTCAGTTGGAATTGCAGGATGTTAAATTCTCCTCACAGGCAGGTTTGCTTTTGAAATGTTACTAGGAATCAAAATCAAAGCCATTACTGAACTGATCCTAAAAAGTTACTCTAATAAGAATTTAGTATCACTCTACAATGTAACAACGCTACTTGTTTTTGCTCCACAAAACCAGTCTTGACATAGTAATTAAAGCTATGAATAAATGGATACATAAATCATACACAGATATATGTGCATTGCTGTCTTGAGCACTGGTTTGTTTAATAATTTGATTCCCTAGGTTTAGGTTTGCAGCTTCTTAAAGCAAATCTTGCTCTTTTCTCTGTGTCCTAGTGTTTTGTGCATTCTACTTTTGGCCCAGCTTAGCACTAAAATGCTTATTTGAAAACACATTACTATAGAAAAGAATTACAACTAGAATAAAATGAAATACTTCATCACCAAAAATTGCCAAATGCATTAAACTAGGCAAAGGCTTGTCACCTTCAAACAGAAATATATTGTGTGCTGTTAAAGATTTAGAAGGTATAATTGCATTGCCAGACTGACAGGCCCACTGCAACAGAAGTAAAAAGAAATACAGATTCCTCCAGTGCTTTCTGCAGGTGGGCAATTTACGGTGAAGAGACGTGAACGCAATTCACAGTAGAAGGCAGAAACTATTTGCTCTTTTTTTTCTTGCAATGAACCATTTGCCACTGCTCCTGGATAACAGATGATGCCAGTGCACTGAATTGAAGCGTTTCACCACAAACACAAAAACGTACAAATGTGTTTCTAATATGATGCTGCTATACTTCTTGTGGTCACTAGATAGCCCTCGTGTTTCCCCAGTTAAGCATGTGACTTCCTTACTCGAAACAGAGCCTCACACCCCAGCCAGGGGGCCTGCTGCTGCTCTCCTCGCTAGACCTGAATGGTAGGACCCCCTATGAAGGCTTCTTCTCCTCACAGCATTTTTTATCTTTCATTTTAACAGTGCTCATTTTCCTCTCCAATATTATTCCAACAAAAAAAAAAAATTAATTGAAAGTGTAGGTCTGTTTAGAGTGCTAACAATACAGGTTTTTTCGTGATAGTATTTCTACAAAGCCCGACATTTAAAATATAAAGGGGAATTCAGCAAGAAAAAAAGGGCTGTCGGGTATTACGGTCCCTCCTGACCACTTTTCAGTGCAAAGTACAAAATTCCCAAAAGGCAGCAAAGTGTTTCCCACCCAGGCAGAGAAGAAAGACTGGTCTGAGTTGGGGGACCCCTTTCATTTCTTTCTGGGGACCTGGCTTTATCTAGCTCAAAAGGCTTGAACAGGCCAAGGGAAGTCAGGGGGTACACCACAGGCTTGAGCAAGACATACTTATTTAACCCGCTAGAAACTGGGGACTTTTTTTTTTTTTTTTTTTTAGCAATTCAGAGAATTCCTTACATTGCTCATGTCCGTTTCATAATTACTCAAACTGAGCAAATGCATCAAAGACCTTACGGAAAGACCCGGTGGTGTTTAAGGCCCTCTAGATCTTGTAATCCACAAAAGGGCTGCTTTGCCCCGACTGGCGGCTGAGAGCGGAGCCGCTGCCCCGAGCTGCCTCTCTGGCTGTGACCTTGCCTGTGCCGGTGGCTGCCCGCAGCTCTGGGTTCCTAGCTGGAGCATCGCGACTGTCTTGCATTACGATATGAATGACGAAAAGTCATCGGTTTCGTACTAATGTCAGCCTCGCTAGGACTTGAGGAAGGTTTTTTAACAAATCAGAATTCTAGCTCTTGTGGTTTTAGAGAAAATGTGCAAAATCAAATTGTTTGTCCTCTACAGGCTTGTCTCTGAAGCTAAAACCCACAAAGAAAAAAATCATCAGCCTATGGCTGCTTAAATCTTATTATTTTGGAAGGGAAGAACTAGTGAGGTGACTCATGTGTGACACATGCTTTTTTTTGAATATGAAACGTCCTTTGGGTACTTGCTATACACCCATCATTTCTGGCTGGCAGTACTGCTATTAGCATAATAAAAACTCATCTGCTGTCGCTGTAACTTTTAATTTCTGTTTTCCTTTAATATTATTATGCCTCTTAACTTGAAAGTTTCAGGATATTGCTGTTTGGTTTTGAATGGTATTGCAAGAGTCTACACCCAGTTATACAGTTACCAATATTTACGCTTTTATCCAACAGATAGAAGTTTACTTAATAGCACCTTCTTATGCAACAAATCTATCTTTCCCATTCTAGCGAACATGCGTTAGATGATGTTTTATTGCTGATAGTAGTAAAAAACTATAGAAAGTGCAAGACTGAGCGATATTCTCTTGCAGTATTGTAAAATAAATGATAGCTCTATGCTAATGGAAAAAATCTTTAACTTGGAATCTAATGTCATATGTGTCAAATTCATCTTAATTATACGGAAAATATACATACATTTGCTCAGAACTACTACTGCTTAGCTACTACAATGAGAGATGGCATTTAATTAAATTAATAATGAATGTGTGTTATAGTTGGGGGGGGGAAATGCTATAAAATACTCAATGTATGTTGAAATATTGCTACAACTTTTAAATCCTCAGTCTAGAAATGCAATTAAAGATCCAACAACCAATTTAATTTGAAATTTAGCCTTCAGATTACTTGACTATTGGGAATTTTAATGCTGAAACAGCATCACTGTCATCAGATGATAGTAGCCTAAGCTGTTAACCAGGATGCATGCCCCCATGTGGTGATCACTGCACTTTTTTAGATGAAAAAACTTCCTAGGCAGTCCGGATTGATGACTCTGCTCCGTAGCCTCTTACATTCATACTTAATTCAGGGCATAAAGAGACGCAACAGAGTAAATAAAACCATTTGTATGCTTAAATTTAATTTTTAAAGTGTTTTTGGACCTGAAATCTACAGGATACAAAGGGGTCAAGAAGATATACTATGCAAATAAATGTACAGTCTGCCCAACTACATCCCACAAGTGGGGTTGCCTGCAGCTGCATACACTCCTGGGGGGGCTGGCCCAGCGGTCTCTTCCGCACTTGTGTCCCTAATCCCCACAACAGCACTCTGGACTAGCGAGGGTTCAGCATGCTCCAGAGAGCCTCTCCAGAGATGGCCTGCTTCGTTTTCCAATTTTGGCAATGTTTTTGTTTTGCTATAGTAATGATTTGTCCCCCTGTTAGAATGTGCTGATGAATCCTGTCATTTAAATACTGTTGATCCTCTCGAGGTAAATCATTGAATCTGTTTAGCAGAAAGCACTCTCCGTTGAAATAACAGTGGGGCAGTAAGGACTAGACTGGTTATGGAAGGAGAACAGAAGAACAAAGAACTGGGATCTAATCTTAAGTGTCACTGATAACAGCACAGCTTTGGACAAGTCAGTTAACTTTTGAAAATCAAGTCTAAAATGGGAAAAGATTACTTTTGTAGCGTGCTTTGAGGTCTGCAATTGTCCCGGGTAAGCAATGCCATATAAATCCAGCACATCACGCTTCAACCATTGGTATTTGAGGGCTGTGCACCCTGCGGAGCCTATGGCACCTCAGGTTCCCACTAAAGCCTCACACACCAAGCTGGATTCTAGCTGACCCTCTCCCTGCCCCTCTTCTTCCATCTTGCGCTACAGGAAGAGTTCTTCTGCCTGTTCCCTTGGTGAATGCTGGGTCACGTACTCCAAAAGCAGCTGGGGTGGGAGGGACGAAAGGTCTAAGCTCACTATGATTGAGAGAGAGGATAAATAAGCTACATGTAAAATCTCTCCCCTAAAAGTACTCCTGGGAAGGCATGTAAGTAATTGGTAGAAAGAACAGTCATTCCTGACCAACTGTTTTATTAGCATCTTACCTGCTTGTTGGCTTTCAGCACTGCCCTCAGGGTTGCTATCTGCTCCCGCTTTGTACTCAGGAGTGATTTCAGTTTCAGTATCTCTTCCATTAAGGCTTCCTTGTCTTTGTCAATCATGGGCGCCAGCTCCCGAGCCGCTGCGCGCTGGCGCGACAGCTGCAGTGACCGATCTACAGCCTTCTGCAAGTGCTTGATTTGGTCCCTTATTATGGCATTGAGGTTGTAGATGTTCATCGGCTCTTTGCGAATGTCACTAGTATCGGAGACTGGGGAGGAAGGAGGGGCTGTGATGACAGGAGAAATTGTAGGTGTTTTTGTTGGGCTCTGTTCCTTGCCAGGCTCTGTGCCCTCTTTCGTCACCTGCTCGGTCGGGGTCCTGGCTTCTACTGGCGATGCCATTCCCCTTCTGGCGAGCCGTGGGGAAAGGAGACCTCGAGGGTCATCCGGTCCCTTCAGGCTTCCACTGCGGGTGACCCTGCTTTGCCTGTAATAGTCCAACATGACCCTGTTTGGTGTCTCGTTGTTGCACAGGCAGACATGATGGTAGAGCTGAGCCAGCTCCTCACTAAAGGTCACCAGCTCGTCCTGGGCGGTGTTGAGGGTGTTATGGTTTTCGTTTGCTATGCTTGTCATCCTTTGTAACTCCTTCTCCATGTGGACCATTTTTTCCTGGCTTTCCTTGGTTGATTTCTCCAGGTTTGTCACCTGCTCATCATATGTCTGGATTCTGCTCTCATACTTGGCCTTCTCTTCAGTGTAGTTTTCCACGTATTTATTATATTTCTCCTTTAAGGCTTTGATTTCGGCTTTAAGGTCAATCACCTCAGTAACTGCTACTTTGTATTTACATTCTAGGATCTCCAAGCCATTGATGTCCACTTCGTAATCGTGTGCTTCCTCCCCAGGGTCTCGGCCCTTCTCACACTCAAGCTCTGCTTTCAGCTCCTTGCTGCTCTGCAGCCCCCTCATGGCATTGACGTGCTCTGTGAGCCTGTGGACTCGCTCGTGTTGCTCAGTCAGGGCTCCCTTGGTGTGCTCCAGCTGCGTCTGAGACTCCTGAAGGTTGGCCAGGAGAATAGCCTTCTCTCTTTCCACCTGCAACAGAGTTAAAGTAAGACATTTCATCCTAATGTGCTTTTCTGCTGAACACCAAACTCTGCCAATCACATCCATGTCTTCCACTCCCCCACTGTGCACACAAGATCTGAGGGCTTCAGAGTCTTCTAGGAGATTTTAGATCTGTATCCCTCATCCACAAAATTAAGTCAGAGAGACATCTGGATCTTGTAGGGAGTTATACAATCTCACCCCCTGCTACCATTTTCAATGTCACAAGGTTGTGATTTTTTACACTGCCCAGCAAAGAATTACTTGGTGCCCAAGCAACTTGTGCCTAGTCACCTAAAATACAGTGATAAATTCTGGATTTATTACAGCATATATTCCCTGAATTTTAATAGGCAGAAACTGCAATAATGTCAACTATAACTTATTACACTGATATATACACGTTGTCAATGGAGTTTCAATTTACATTTCCCATGAGAAGCTTTACCACCCATTCAAAATCTGTATTTATGTATTTGGACTGTTGCAAACACTCATAAAGGAGTGCTTGATTACTGAATGCAAATACAGTAAACAAATGCCTGTCTACATCTCCATAGATCAGATTAAATTGCCACCACGTGTGAATATAACATAGATTGGGACACTGAGCACATGCTGCTCCTAGGACTCTCCATCGCCAACATTTAACTCTACGCAAAAGCAATACCTTTACGGACAAGAGAGAAAAAGCAGGATTTGTGGTATAACTAACAAACCACTGGCTCTGACCTGATAAGTTCCCTCTGAAATCTGGAGTTTGAACAGCAGAAGATGTCTTGGGGCACTCCTCCAGAGGTTTTAATAAACAGCATCTTAAAGCAAGTGAGTAAGAATAACCGTTTTAAGTTTGGTCTGTTCAGATACTCACTACTTTCAGGTAATACCTCTGAAAGACTTCCATTTCAGCTTCTAAATTTAATGCTCCATGCTTTTTTTTTTCTGTACCTTTGTCCAGTTCTGAACTGGGAACCAGAGGAAGGCAAAAATATATGGGATCCCTCTTGTTTTCACGGCTTTTGCAGCAGGATCAGGATGTCTGTGGAGATCCTGAGCCCAGGTTTACTGCTCTTTCTCTCCCACGGTTGCAATATCTCAGCCCTGTGTTCATATGTGCGGTGAAAATGGCAGTTCCACATTCCCTTTATGAGTGACTGAATTACTAATTCAGAGAAATCAAAGCTGTCAGTTCTGAAAAACCCTTTAAAAAAGATTTCCTTCGCTATCAGCATCTCCCCAGGTAGGATTTGGAAGACTCAAATTAGCCATCGTGAAACTTGCCAAAGGGAGAAAAAAAAAAAAAAAGCCTTTTAGAGACTTGAGAGAATATTAATGTTGTCTCAGAAAATGTTCTGGCAGTAGTTCAGACTCCTGTTATCTCATAACTAGGAATCCAGTGCCTGCTGCTGAAATGTATTAAGGTGCTAAAAGCATACGATGATCCCCTGGTTTTACAGACAGGCTTTCAAAATCTGGCTTTTATTAGAACCTTTAATCATTTGCAGCCACCAAATCCTAGGAACAAAAATAGAAACCACGCTAAAAACCTGTAAAAAATTGGCCTACTTTTTTTTGTGTACAGGTAAGTGATGACTTAGGAAGAAAAACAGGGCCAAACCTCATCATTATTTTATGATCTAGGAAAAGATTGCCTCCTTAGATAGAGAGAGCTCCATTTTAGAGGCTACATAGACTGTGCCGCAACGTGGAGGAGGACAGCCAAGCACCACGAGCATAGTGGTACCTTTCTCTGATGTTGTTCCCCAGCTGCTGCCCCAGTCTCCCTCTCTTCCCATTACTGCTCGTTCCCAGGGTCAGCTCGCTTTTACTGAATTTGGTTTATTAACCAAGAGTCCAAAATAGCATAACCTTCTTCTCTGCCAAGACTGTCTTGTTAAAAGGTGACTGCTCTCCACAGATCTCTCTGTCAGACCTGTCCCAGGGAGCCTCGGAGAGTTATTCAGCAAAAGCTTTTTCACTAGCTCTCCTCTGCTTTTTTTTTTTTTCATGAGCCAGTCTCCCCCAGGGCTACGCTCCCTGGAAACTTTATGCTGAACTCTGGTTGTTACCACCTGGCATAGCACGCTTGAGTGTTAACTGCATTATTCTCATTAGCTACTGAAGGTATTTATTCCTTCAGCCTGTTGAAGTGGGCTAAACATGTGCACGAAAATCTGAGTTTCAGTTAATTTAAAAGACCATCTCACCTTATGACTGGAGTGGCATGTATAATATTGATACATCACACTCCAAAGGCAGCTGGCTTTTCAAGGTTTTTAGTTGCACTGTGGTTATGTTCAAAGCCTTGGAAGCATGCAGTTAACAGTCGACTCCACTATTGTAAAAGCAAATATAGAGCTTACAGCCAGAGAGCCTTTCCTTTGATATAGCAAGCTAGCGTTGAAGAAGCATTGGCTTTCAGTGACTGCTTAAGAAGTTGGACAGAATTGACCCTGACAGATTATTGATCTCAGCTGTCAATATTTTACGATGAAGGAAAATTATAATAGAACTAACAGGGATCTTTATGATTATTTCTTTCTCTGCTGAACACATATGGGTTCTGGAAACATATTTCTGTTCAGTGTTTCAGACTGGCATAATAGGTGAAGAGCTTAAAAAGAAAGATTTGTTTCCAGAGAAAAGAAATGACATCTAAAACCCATCCACCAACTTGGACAGCAAGTAAAATGAAATACATATACCTACTGACTTGGACTTATTATAGCCCAGTAATAATGGATGGAGCTAATCCACTCCTGTTTGAAGGTATAAGGCCGTGCTTCTACTTTCAAGGGGGAAAAGAAAAACCAAAGCTCAAACTGAGCCCTGAGGACACCATCTGAATCTCTGCTGGTTTTACGTAGAGTTCTAGACAGTACTGTGTCTTGTTTCCACCCACAGCAAACTTTTGGGAGTAGGCTGTTATTTCTCCATCCAGCTACGTTTTTTTGACAACGAAATTAGTAGATGCAGGAAGGAACTTTATCATCTTAAAAAGAAAACAGAAGCAATTCAAAAGTAGCTGTACACATTTCACGGTACATCCTTCAAGGATTTCAGTTTGGGGAGATGTCCTTCCCGATTTGCCCTATAGTTTGCAATTTTGGGAACCAATTTCACCATTGCTATTTCTCTCCCCCCGTCCCCCCCTTTAATTAATTATGAGTAGATCGGCAAACAATTCCTGCTAAGGAATGCAATAAATGAATAGGAAATTCATTTCAAGGACCCTGAATTTCAGCCTTATCTTTTTTGTCAGAGAGTACTAGACAGTTGCAGAAGACAATCTGTGCTACTTGACCTTTTTTGTTTTTTAAGATAATTTAATCTATTTTTTCCAGATAAGACAGTGAGGATGTTGGCCTCAGGAAGAAGGAAAACAACACCGTGGAAGGAAAAGAAGAATATTAGGCTCTAAAAATGAGACAACTAATTCTTCCTACTGAACAACAGACGTGGAAGCAGAACAGAGGACCTTGAGCAAATGGAATATGAAATTTTTCAGCAAGACATTTGTTACCATCTGGATTTAAAAGATCTATGTAGTGAAAATGAGCACTTGCAATTAAATTTTCTTCTAGGGACTAACATAGATCATGGAGCAGCAGAGCTTGCCACACATGTACAAAATAGCAACATTTTCTTCTCTCAAAAAAAGGAGCCTGTTGTTCAATAGATATAAAAATGTTTCCCAAGAGATGTACAGTTTCTTCAGCAACTCTGCCACAGCCTCTTCAGAGAAAGCAGGAGGAATATATATCAGATGTTGAGATGTCACTGACTGAACAGCAAAGAGAGCAAACCCAATTTTGCTGAATAATTTCTTTTTGCCGGCATCTGCTATGCAGAAAAATTTTGGAGGAAATTTTCACATTTAATTTGTGTGACGCCAGGTGAGCTAAACAGAGATGACCACTCTAAAAAACTGCACATCAGCGTTTTGCAGTAAGCCTTTTCAGTATCTGCAGAAATCAGGTTTCTTACTGAGTCTACTCTTTCTGTTTTAGACCTCTAACCATGACACTGAGCAATGGTAGCTGCGATTTGTGTGCTGGCACACAAAGCCCAGCAAAGCCACTGCTACTGAGAAACCGTTTTATTTCTTTTCTAGGGCGCTACAGTCCTCTGATGGACAGTTTGTGGCTAGTCCCTTTCAGCTGGCTGATTGTTTCTTTAAAAATGTAAAACAAATATGAAATGTTAAAATTGAAGATGACTGAAACAACGTTCACTCCAAATTTATATTAAATAAATTTCATTGTATCTTATGCTTGAAAACGTTTAAACCGTATTTTGAAATGTGAACATTTCAAAGCATTTTTTCTGGAGCTGTTCTTTTTTAATCCTTTGTATCGTGTTTCTAAATGAAATCAAAAGCTGTATATAATAAACATATAAAAATATATGTGTGTGCATTATATAATATATAAATATATGTATACATACACACAGGGGCGTATGTATGTATTCATACATAAAAATGCATAAGTTTTATATTTAATATTGGGACAGGTTCTGACAGAATTTTCCACAGAAATAAAATTCCAAGTTTCAAGATTTTCCAATCAAATTACATATGTCTTGTTCCAAAGGTATTTATACAAAGCACTAGATATCATACAATCAGTGTTTTCCGTGTCATAGTTCAGATCAAACCTTCCCACAGTGCATTTGGCAATCAAGTAAATAAAATAGTTAACTCTTCAGCAAATACAGAACATACCATGGCACTAGGCTCCATGAGATGTGTCTAATTAGGACATTAAATTAAGCTCTTACTTGCATGAGTTGCTGCTTCAGCTTCTGTATTTCTGATATGTTGAGCTCACTGAAGAGGTCAGAGACTGGGTGCAGAGATTCTCCTTTCCTAACCGCGGGAGTTCGGTAGTCACCATTGAGTTTCACAAGAGGTCCGTGGATATGTCCATTCATTTTGTCGTCATTGTTGGGCTCGCTCCCATCCTCTGCAAACTTTAATCCATCTACTGATATATTAATATGGTTATTATACATACTATCATTGAGGTTGATATACTGGGAGAGTTCCTTCCTCAGATTGTTCTTTTGCTCCCTTTCATTTTTTAAAGTTTCCAGGGCTTCCTCCAGCTGATGCTCAGCAATCTCTTTCAACCGGATGGCATCTTCTAGCTGACTATTAAGCAACACTGTCTCCTCCTCAAAGCGTTTAATCTCATGCTTTAAGCCTTCATATTCAACCTGAATTAGACAAGACAAAGAACATTCATAATACTAAAACTTGAGTCATGAAAACCTGCCATTCATTAGCCTTATTGAAATAGGTGCTACAGAAAATACAATTTGAAATACCAGGCACTGCCTGTGGCTGCAAAAACAGGATGCACAGAAAATGCCTGTGGACATCTCTATTGAATATTGCACCACTCTTTTTTTCAGCAGGTGAGAATCAGGAAATAAAATCGCCTTTTCCAAGTAGCTTAAGAGGATAAACAATACGTTTCATGGAAAGAAGATTATTTAGTGGCAGGTGTCCTGGTAATCAGAGATTTATTATGAGTTGCCATAATCAGTGTTGGTATATCATGTATGTATTGATCTTAAGTTAATATGATTTGAACTACTAAGTGCAAGTATTCTGAAGATGACTGTAATCGTCATATCTAAAATTTTTATCAGATGTAAGTCACTCAGGCATGGATCAAGTATCTTGCTATCTTAATAGTGTTGAAATCTATGGATGAAAGGTACCAAGCTCTTAGGAGAGGCCCAACCGTCTTCTCTGGACACGTCTCACAAGCTTCTCCACTATTTGAGAAACCTTTAATTTAAAAAATGGGACAGTAGACTAATCACACAACCGATTTAAACTACAAGATGCTCCAAATTGTTAGAGATTTTTAAGCCACCAGGAAAATGTAATAAATAGCTTCTTCATCCACACAGTCCTTGAACTGTGCATATGAATACCATTTCAGAGCATGCGGCCAGCTTGCTGAAATGTTTTCCCCAGTGAACTGGTGCTGCATTGTCAGGCTTGAAAGGACTAACTGGTCTCTCGCCTTCCCAGAGCACAGGCACCTAGCCCCATGTCTAGGTGCAGGATATTGGCAGTGTGTGCTGAAGAAAACAACAGCTTCTTCTCCATTTTGTGAAGGCAGTTTCCGTCTTTATAGAGGGACATATGTACAATCCTCTCTGTTGCATCTAACATGAAGCAAAGCACAGGGAAACCAGTCCAGCTGTAAACCAGGTGCTCAGCAATTGCTAGAGGGTGCAGAGGATCCCTGCTGCAGAACGCTTCACCTTGCTGCCTCTCATTTTCTTTTCCACTGCTTGATAATCCCACAGCAACCAAAAGCAAGACCTTTGTTTATAAGGTTGCATGTCCATTCCAGACTAGCTCTTCCAGTAAAAATGGTCAAACTTTGATTTTTAATTTAATTCTATCCATGTAACTTATCCACATTTTCATTTCTAAATGGAAAGTTTCCCAATATCAGAAGAAATTTTGCAGTAGTTTGGTGAAAGAGAAAAGGAAATACTGAATTTTCATGCTTTTATAAAAACCTTCTTTTCAGTTGAGACATTTCTAATTCCAGTACATTCATATGCATTGCTATCTGCAGTTTTAAGGCACAGTCTAGTCTATTTTTCATTTGACATTTATATTTATATATACGTACGTATATTTTTAAATGAACTATAATAAGGTTCTGGTAAAAATGGAAACATCAACCATTCCTTTTGGAGTAGAATATTTATCAACCTGTCAAAAGTCTTGTACTTTTAAGCCTTTGGAAAGGCAAACTTCAAAACTGAAGCACTCATCTTCAAACTCAGAGAATGGAAAAACATCAAACAACAAAGAAAGTTCCTATGTCATATTGGGAAATGTTAAAAAGAAAAGCAAAATCTATGGTATTTTGAAATCTGCATTTCAAAAAATCATCAAAAGAGACTTGAAATCTTTTTTGACTGGAGAGAGATGTCCACCTAGAACATCATAAAATCCAACCTAGTAGCTACGTTTATAACTTAAGGACAAAAAAACACCTAACTTCTTGCATTTAGAATCTGTATGAAAACCAGAGTGTAATTTTATCTATACAGCAAGCATCTCATGGATACCTGCTTCCAAAAGTACCAAGAAAACAAGTTACAAAAAAGCGCAACACTGATAATCACAGTTTATCACTAAGGCTTATAACATATGGTTTTATTAATTAAAGTACGAAAGAATAAAATGCTCTTGAAATTTTCTCTTGTAGATGAAAGCTATTTTAGGAATTACAAGAGCAAGGAAATGTGATAGAAAATGACAGATTTTTAAAGTCATTCAAAATGCGGCAATGCTTCTTCTCTCCACATATAGCTGGTATTCGGATGCGTTATGAATGAAATACTATGACAGATAGTATTGCAAACACTTGCAAACATTTTATTCTGGTGGAATCTAGGATATTTCAAAAAGGGGTCTTTAAATTTTCTCTTGATAGTGTGAAAATGTGCCCTGTGAGGCCAGTGAGGAAAAAATATATGTCTCGAACAGGGAATTTGCTGGCTTGGTAAATAACTCCAACACAAAGATGATCACCTAGAAATTCACTTTCAGGAGTGTAAAAGTCACGGTATCTTCAACAATAGGGAAATGTTGTACCAGTTTCTATTACCTGAATATTCCCTACTGCACTGCTGCATTGTTCTACATGTTTCAATATCTCGTTTGTGCTAGAAGCATAAAATATCAGTAAAAAATAGATAAAATAGAACTGCATATTCTCACAGGAATAAGACAATTTTGTTAACAGACTCCCATTAGAAACTATGACGATATTAAATATTTATTCTTATGTTATAAACAAACATTTAGTATATCTATTTTTGATAAAAGCCCTAAAGAACCATGCAGTAGGTTATGACATAAAACAGGGACAGTTTTATGTTTTTTAAGCAGTGCTACAATCTGCTAAAAGTGAAGGAAATGGTATTATACAGTATAATCTTACGCTGGCCTGGGATGCCCCTAAAAATATAAAAAATGTTTCCTCATCCAGCTTGGATACGTACTTATTTATCACGGCAAGTTAACTTTTCTGACATGAGAACAAATCTCTTTTGTTCTATTTAAAAGACAACTGGTGCGTGATTACTTCCTCAGCAGTGTTTATATCCAGCAGCAAAGGAAACTGTGCTTTTGTAAGGGGGAAGAGAACAGACCCAAGTACTGATTGCATCTGGATGTAACAGAGCTTTAATACATTATGGTTCCTCAGGGCGCGCTCTGCGCTGCAGGGAGAGTTACAGCGCGTTGGCTTGCCGTCAGCTGCAAACTGCTGTAATGGGGAAAAGTTAAGAGACACACTGGGAGCGTTTGACATCCCTTCTGCTTTTGAAGCTCGCCAAACTTGCAGGTTAGCACTGCTGAGAAGGGAGCAATATTGGTGCAGGAGGAGAAAAAAGGGAGGACAAGGAGAACATTATTCCTCTTTTCTCCACGTCAGAAGAGGAAATGGAGTGCAGGAAACAGAGAGGAAAAAGAGGGCTAAACTCTGTGGTTAGGCATTGAGCTCAGTGGAGAGGAAGAGCGGGAAAGTGAGAAGCTACAGTTCTATCTATTTTCAATAATTATTCTGCTATTGCATCGTTCTGTGTAGATATATGCCATCCGGATTTTCCTAAAACTGAGGGAAATGCCTCCCCCTGCCTCAAAAATGGCCAGTAACATTGTTACAGAATAAGTGTTTAGCAAAAACTCAACTGAAAACATACAAAGAAACCTCTGTCAAAGTGTTCTGCTAAATCACGTTGTGGACATTTGAGAAAATGGTGTCATTTTTCAGCATAGCACCTAGAGTCTTTTGATGCTTACTTGATTCTGTTTCAGTGTGGACACTAGTTTCTGTAAAGTGATATTTTCTTCTTCAAGTTCAGTGTAGTCCTGTAGAAGTCTCGCCTCTCGAAACTTGTATTCTCGAATTTCATCTTTCATTCGTACCCTCTGCAGTTCCACCATTTCATTATTCTGAAGGGAAAAAATACAAGTATGTTACCATTCGTTCACGGCCACTTCAATGATAAACACTACCTGTAGAAAAGGCCACACACAAAAATTATCCTCAAATAGAAATCATTTAACAGTGCATATCGAAAAAGCATCGCCTTTTTATTTCAGGCTAAACTGCAATTTCAGGTGTATACTGGCAATGCCTAAATGAGAACATATGATAAGGAAGCTTGATTAAAACAGTTCCAAGATTAGAGGCTTATTAAAATGGAAAACCTGGCAAGGCTTTATCATCTCATTAGTTTTATTTGCTATACGACATGGTTGCGTCCAAATACAATTACCTCCTCTTTTCCACCAAAAGACACTTTCTACATTCACACAGAAGAGCAATGAATAACGGCATCTGTTCTGTAATGACATCTGTTACTGAGCAGGATGCACTCACATGTTTGTATTTGCAGGTATTAGGTGGAGGGGGAGCCTGGCTGTGCAGACTGCCAGCAGGGCAGTTATCTCCATGAGCCACTAGAGGACGATGCAACCCAAATTATTCTTCAATCAGCAAAATAATTCATAATTAAACTGTACTGGTAGTCAAGTATTGAATATTAAACTTTCAGGATAAGGCAACTGGTCCAGATATTTTTACTAGGGCATCAGTATTTTTTTACATCTCCAAAGAGGATTCCCCTATGAGCTACTGTAGCTGTAAAAACCAGCTTAATCCAAGAGGTGGAGCTAATGGTGCACGAGAAATGTTTCAATGGCTGGAAGTTATTTTCAGTCCCAGTCACCAGAAGAACATGGTGCCACGGTTTTAACGGATTTGTGCCAAAAAAGACGGAAAAGGCCTTTCTGTGAAACCACAGCAGACAAGAGAGTCCTTGTCAAGTATTGCATCTAATTATACACAAACACTAATTGTGGAAGACGTCAGTCACGTTGTTCAATGCACTTCTAATGAACCTATACACAGCAGAATAGATCATGAGAAATGAAACACTGAAGGCTCCAGTTGAGATAAAGTCTGTTTAGGTCACCTATCCAGAGAGGCTCAGATATGTTTTCAAACTTGTCATGTATGAAAAGTGAAAGACGTCTCCAGGCTTCACAGGAGCAAACATCTTTATAGTACAAGCAGCACTTCAGTCCTGACAGGTCTCTGAGCATCAGTGGAATATAAGCATTAAATAATAAACTGCTGCAGTTCTCACACAACTTAATGCAATATATTGGAGTTCTACTCCGTTTTGATTCAATTTTAAAATGCTATCATGTTAGGCACAGAGCACACTGTATTAATTGTGTGTGTAGACACGTTGTAACGCATTGTGTTGTCTCAAATAATTCAAAGTGAAAAGGTTCTTCAAAATGAAAGAATGGAAGCGTTTCATCTTGCACATGATGAGAAAGGACTAAGAAAAAAATATAATTTCCCCATGGCCATTTTCAGTGTCGAACACCCTCACTGTCAGCCAAGGCAGCTGCCTGCCTCTCTCTTGTGGCATGTCAATATACCTAAGGAGAGCAAAGAGGGCAAGGGACAGTGACCCAATGCTGGGTATTCTCGGCTCTACGATGAGAAGTGAGCTCTGGTGGCTTTGATTTCTTGAACTTTGGACTCACAGACCAAGATACATGAACTCTGAAACTGGTGCTGTTCTGAAGCTCTCTTTGTAAAGCGAATGCCCTTCTGTCAGCTCGTTTTCAATCTCCTTAGGACTACGAAAAGGACATTTTTCAGTTCTTCTGGTTTCCCTCTCTTGCTTCTTGTCCCAAACAAAACTGTTGAACTGGCGTTTAGGTTTTTCTCTACTTTTCATGTAAATTTTAATGAAAAGATTTCCAGTCCTTACTGCAATAAAACATATTACTTTCCACACTGCAAAACAGCATTGCAATCAGAAACTAATTAGATAGACGCTTCATACTACCCTGATTTAATCACAACTTATCTGTTAGCAAATGCATGCAATATCATGATACTGCGTGTGATTTTATCACCTTTATAATTCATGAGTAAGGAGAACAGTGGAAAAATTATATACTTCAGATTTAATGGCACTATATTATGGCTGACGCAGTACAAAACCCTATTTGATCTGGTGACAGTTTTATTGCACTAGCAGTAAATTGAATGTAAGAGAAAATTTATGCTTAGACTAATACCCATGATCTCACGTGTTTGCAGACATGTCTTACTGTATAATTTGTGTGCCATATTTACTTCACTCTGCAGAGGAAAATACAAGGTGTATGTTTTATTAATAGCATTAATAAACAAACCATTTAAAAATTAATTTGGGTACAAATTTAATTACAAATAGGCTAATTTTGCATGGGGGAGGTCCTGAAGCCCTGCCTGCACACTAATACGCTTGGTCAAAAACAGGTTTAGTACCTCCTTTACGACCGTTCCAAAAAAGAATCAACCCCAATCATGAAAAATTTTGCTTTCTTTTTAAATCTATGGGCTATACCTATTTGGCCTCATGACAGTATAAGTAAATTAATGGAAAATTAATGAGGAAAAAATAACAAAATCCTAAAGCATCTTTAATTCATTGCCTTTAGAAAATAAGGATCTACCCTTACAAAATTTATAGCCTAATTATACCTTGCAGCAGCTCCCCCGGAAGGCTATTGTATGAGGAGTTAGTGATCCACATAATGGCTGGCCCAAGTGTATGCCTATTGTGAATACTCTATGCCTCAGTAGATGTGGATGCAATTTTAAGCACCTGTGCTATGTGTTGTTCTCTCTGCTCAGAATATTATATAACATTATCCACTGTATGTACCATTCTCAGGACCTGTAGGTTTACTAACGTGATAGGGATATTAGGGCGTATTACCCAAGGGATTTTTTAAAGCTAAGCCCACAGTCCAGACTTGATTTGCTACCAGTGTCTGATGAATCTGTTTTGCAAGTGAGGCTCTATAAGAGTGCAGGTGAACAGAGAGCTGGTGAACCTCACCACGGACAGGACCTTCACACCATGCCGTGCCCTGACCAGAGGTTCATCCGATGCTGTATCATCTTGGAGTTCCCAGCATCAGAAGGGCCGTAAGATTTTCTGACTTGCTATCACCTTTTCTGGGATACTTATAAATAGTTATCTGTCTTGAAGGTGTTTGTACCTGTCTTGTTAGGATTAGAAAAGAACCAGCACCTCCTGGTGCAAAATATACTCTTCTTTAGAGGCCTCTGAACGTGGGTTGTGGTTATGTTTTTGTTTTCCCTTAAAAAAAAAATCAACATATAAAGGAAAACCTATTTTTGCATCATACAGAAAATTTTTCTCCCTAGGAAGAAGTAACAGAATATCACTGAAAAGCCATGCCTCCTCCTTCCTACTGACAGAAATGAGGAGAACACTACAATGAAAAGACCTGCAGTCTAGAAAGAGACTGGGAAGAAGAGGCCAGAGAGCACTTACTTCACAGAGCTTCATACCCTCAAAGGCAAGAGGTTTCCAAAGAAACAAGACAGCGTATTCATCTCTCCATTATCTGGGAGGAAGAGGCGGTCAGGGTAACCCTGGAAGATCCTGCATCTCTTAAAGAACCAGTTTTCCTTCCCTTTCAATACACAAATCCTTGCCTCCCAAAATATACTATTTCAAAGATTTATTTTCCTTGCTGTTAAAAGTTTGCATCCTCCTTTTTACACGAATTTATCTGATTTCACTTTTCAAGAGGTTTCATTCAGATGGCATCATTAGCGTTCATGATGTCATATCTGATCTAACCAGCTGTGCTGACATAGTACCTTAAGAGTAGGAATGCTTCTCCTATTGTCCAAAGCAGAAATCACTAACTTGAAATTATGTATGTTTGATTCTGACACAAACACAAACTCCTCAGCTTTTGATATATCATTCGTTACATCTCGTAGCCAGAAAAAAGCAGACATGTAGTACTGTGCACAAGGTATTAGATTTTTGAAAATATGTCTGTAAAATAACATTAAGTTCCTATAATCTTTCCCTTACATGGATTTACTTACAAAACGATAGCACTATCACAGATAAGGTTGAAAAGAGCCACATCTTTGTTAGCTACAGCCTATTGAATAGACGCCAAATCAAGATAATGGGTGTGTATTTCAAGTTCCTTTGCCTGCAGCAGTTCTTGAATAATACACCAAATAATTGCATCATGTTCGATTTTCAAGATATTTAATTAGACAGCTAAACCTAAAGTAGTAAGGTGAATTTCTACCAAAGGCAATTAAATGGCCCATGTATGTAGCTGTTATAGTTTTAAACCCATAGTATTTAATCCTGTAAATTCTGCTACTTATAAATCTCTATACAGCATCAATTTTATTGACATTCATATGACATTCTAAAAGACAGAACTAAGGATTGTTCTCATTATGCAGTTATCTAATTTGTCTGCTGAGTACCACAGTCACATAACATTACGAGCATTGTTTTTGGCATAAACTGACTAGAAAGTAAAAACCCCTAATGCCTTATTTCCAAGTAACTCTCTGGGGAACATACAAAAAAAATAATGGTTTGATCTTGATTTCATTAACAGCAAAACATATTTATATTAGAACCCTGTAACAAACACTGTTGTAATATTCCCCACTTATTCTCTTGAAAAAAGAGAAACTACATTGAACTAAGCTGTATTAAAATAGCAAGAGAGGAAATTCAGACTGCTGCAATAAAGTAGAGTTCAGTTAATGTGATCCTTCGCCATGTCTGCATATTTAGAATGAAGTTACACGTTACAATATGGTCATTGAAAATAGTAAAATATTCTGTATCAATTGGCTGGAAAAAGTTTTACCCAAAAGAGGACGTTGCGGAGGACGTTTTGTTTAAACCTGAAATTCTGCCGCTCCCCTGCCTCCTGCAGTTCCAGTGGCATTAAACGTTTCTGATTTGGAAGATTTATTCTGAAATGCCACACTGACCGGGTAAAAGGAGGATAATGAAAATATCTGTGCCCTGGAGCAGGCTGATAATAACATCTTGCAAAAGAAGAGTAGAAAACGT